CATCCGTGAGAAGGCAAGACCAACCCCTCCCCTGCCTTCTCCTCAGCCTCCCCAACATGAAGACAATGGGAATGAAGACCTTTATGATGATGATCCACTTTCACAATAGTAAATATGTTTTCTGTTCCTTATGATTTTCTTAATGACATTTTTGTTTCTCTAGCTTACTTTATTGTAAGAAAACAGTACATAATACAAATAACATACAAAATGTGTGTTAATCAACTGTTATTGGTAGGACTTCCAGTCAACAGTAGGCTATGAGCAGTTAAGTTTTGGTAGGGGAGTCAAAAGTTGTCAATGGATTTTCAACTGTGTGGTGGGTGGGCACCTCTGACCCCCACATTGTTCAAGGGTCACCTGTATATACAAATATTTATATTTGCTGAATGATTTGCAAAGTAAGTTGCAAGTAAGTTACTGACATTCCATGAAGCGGTAAGTAAAGTTGAAAATTATTTTTTGTAGATGTTACCATCTACCTTATCTCAGGCTACTATAACAAAGTACCATAGGTTGGATGGCTTAAACAGCAGAAATTTATTTCTTATAGCTCTGAAGGCTGGCAAGTCCAAGAGCATGGTGCTGGCTAGAATGATTGGTCCTGGTGAGGGCCTCTTCCTGGCTTGCAGATGGCTGCCTTCTTGTGTCCTCACATGGTGCAGAAAGAGTGATCTCTGTTCCTCTTCCTATAAAGCCATAATCCCATTATGAGGGCCCTACCCTCATCACTTAATCTAACCCTGATTGCCTCCCAAAGACCCCATCTTCAAATACTTATGGGTTAGGGCTTCAATATAAATTGAGGGGTTGGAGGAGACACAATTCTGTCCACAGAACTTTCTGTGAACAAGCATATTATTCCCTCCCTCCCTTCCTTCCTTCCTTTTCTTTCTTTCTTTCTTTCACAAATGTTGTCCCTTTCTCCAAAAGAATAAGAATCTGCTTTATGCAGCTGGCACCAGAACTTCTCTTAGTAAGGGAAATATCCTTAATGTCTTTTTCTTTGTGGCGGTGGGGGGAATGTCTTGATAAGTCATTTAGGTATGAAAGGTGAAATCTTACACAGTGGCACAGCAATGTGAATGTACTAAATGCCTGCTAATTGTATACTTTAAAGAGGTTCATTTTATGTTAAGTGAATCTTGCCTCAATCCAAAAAAGTGTGACCCTGTAGAAATGGTTGGCAGGAGGAGAGGAAGTGAGAGAGATAGCTAAACTACTCTGTGTAAAAGAGAAAATGTGAATTTGGGAACTGGAGAAAAGCAAAGGGAAAGCGGCAGAGAGTGCTAAGCCAGTAGTGGGAATCTAGAGGAAAAGTGGCTGACGGGCATTTTAAGAACAGAAACATTTAATATTCACTTTTAATTTGCCTGTCTCTGTCTCCTGAAACTAATAAAGTCAGTCAGTAGACACAAAAATACCTTATGTGAACAAAATTGTGTATGTAAACCCTTCTTACACCTACATGTGACGGAACACATACAGCCTTATGCTATATCCAGGTGATCCAGAAACCTCAAAAAGTGAAATTCAAAGGCAGAGATGGCCAAGAAAAAATGTAAGCTACCTGCTTCCTCCCAGAATCCGTGGGCACATCAGGAGAGTTGTGGGACGATCCTCATGAGGGATGTGATTGAACTAACTTATGCTAACTCTCAAAGTGTATTGAGACTTTCCTTGACATATCATTGGCAATATATTGTCATTTCATTGAGTAAAGGGCTCATTATTGACTAGTCATCAATTGTACTTGTAGGGAAATGCCTCTTTAAAGACAAGAGACCAGACCTCCACAGAGGTAGATCTTGGAGGTTGGAGCAGCTCTAGAATTTCTAACATTTCCCCTTATGGTCATCTTGCTAGGTTCTCTGTAACAAAGCCTGGTAGTTCAGAAATCAGGCTCCAAGAACGTGCCTTATATCAACCTGTTTGTGTGTGTGGGTGGGTGTGTGGGTGTGTGTGTGTGTGTGTGTGTGTTTGGGATCAGAGCTACTCAACTTCCTTTTTTTTTTTTTTTTGAGACGGAGTTTCGCTTTTGTTGCCCAGGCTAGAGTGCAATGCTGTGATCTCGGCTCACCGCAACCTCCACCTCCCAGGTTCAAGCAATTCTCCTGCCTCAGCCTCCCGAGTAGCTGGGATTACAGGCATGAGCCACCACGCCCAGCTAATTTTGTATTTTTAGTAGAGATGGGGTTTCTCCATGTTCATCAGGCTGGTCTCAAACTCCCGAGCTCAGGTGATCTGCCCACCTTGGCCTCCCAAAGTGCCAGGATTACAGGCATGAGCCACTGTGCCCAGACTTCAACTCAACTTCTACTTGGATGGTAGCAGTAGGAATCAGAGGGAGTGGGGGCCCTAGGGAAGGGCACTCCCATGGAAAAAGAGTGAAGACGAATTTTATAATTCCCTGGTTTTCTTACCCAGTTCTCCAACCTGCTAAAATCTGAGAAAGTTTTATATTTTAAATGAATGGAAGATCGGTAATCTCATAAAATAATATGACACTAATGAGCTGGCACTTCTGTGTATGGACCAGGTTCTATGCCAAGCACATTCTCATGTAATCTGAGGTAAGCACAGTTATATTCCCCATTTAATAGATTAGAAATTAAAGTTTAAAGAGACTGTAAGGTTAAATGACTTGTTCAAGGTTATACATCCTTAAGATGCGATCCTAAAAATAGAAACAAGTTTGACTCTAAAGGCTGTGTGCTTAATTACCATGTTAATAAAGTGTATCCAACTGTTGGAGGTTTTTTCTACAAAAAGATTCTGCTCATAGTAGGTACATAGTCAATATTGACTGTGTTGAAGGCTGCTTTTTTCATTTAAAATGTGGCACCTAAATCTGTTCTGTTACATCAGCCAGACAGTATTTTGGCCGGCCTTGTGTCTTGTTTCTCCTTTTTTAAGTATTTCAGAGGAAATTCTGGACAAAGGGAAGGTATATGGGTTTTTAAGTAGAGCAGGAATGTGTTCCGATCGTTGTCAACTAGGCTTTGAGAAAACTTGGATGTCTTACGAAACAATGTCAGAAACCCATTTCTGTGTTCTGTGACTTTCTACAAACACAATTTTTAAAAATCCAAATATAGTTTAGACTATCAGTAGTCTAATTCAGTGTTTCCCAGATTTGAGATTTCTTTTGGAATTTTAGAACGTCAAAATGAATCTCAGGACATTCATAATATTGCAAACTTTTTATTTTACGAGTTGATCGAGGACATTAAACTTGCCACCTTCAATATAAAAAATTAAGGTTATAATAAAATATGGTCTTTTAAATTCAACAGGTTTAGATTTGTGAAAAACTTGCTACGTAGTCATTTATCTCATCAAAGACCAATGAAAATTTTCTCATAGACCAACACTTGGAAACTACCAGTCTAAATAACCAGTCTATATTCAAAAATTCAGTAAAAATTTGTTCACTTCTAATGCTCATTGACTTCAATTATCTTATAGGTAGAAAGAAGTAGATACAAAAACATCTTGATTACAAAATACATTGATGTTGAATACAAAAACAGATCTTGATTACAAAATACATTGGGGAAAGTTGACTCTTTCCCCAATCATTACTAATCCTAACCAGCGAAAAATATCTACATAGGTTCTGGTTTACAGATTTGCAAAATTTTTGTCAACACTTCAGGATTTAGAAAAAAACACTGACAAGGCATTTTTACTATATAACTTCCTAAGCTTATATGATACTCAAAAGTCAGTAAGGATTATGCCATAATAATATTTACATTTCACAGGGAAGCAAAATACTTGGAGCCTCTCTGTGTCTTTGTCTAAAGATTTGTCATTCATTTGCATTCAAATAAATTCTTTGCTTTCATTCATCCAGAATGGTTCTCAATTTATTAGCTTACCAGACTACATAAATAGCGATGCATTCATGCATTTTAATTTCAGTGTAAAATGGCTTTCCTCAATTTTTTTTTTCTACTCAACTCTCCCAAAAGATGTCTAATCACTCCCACACTCAGTTACTTAAACATTTCATAATATTGTTACTTCTATAGTAAAAAAAAAAAAAGTAATTTAATAAATCAGAGAGCCCTACTCTAGCAATCTAGAACTTTATTCTGGTGAGAGAAAATTCTCGAATTCTATTTCCAGCCTCACTTGTGAATAGATGAGTTTCCCTGTCACAAAGCATTGTTAGGTAGGTACAGTATCTGTTCTTTAGTTGGTAAGCTACTGAAACTTACAGTCCAATGGAGATGACCTCTATTCAGTGCCTGGGATGGTGATACCCTGAAGGGCAGGGTGTGACTGGTGCATGTGCCACATGCACACTAGGCCATCTGTGCGTGCTTGTTGAAAGAATGACATATCTTGGTGAGTAATACGAACATTAAAAGCTCTGCTGGATAAGCTCATAGAGGTGGGGTTCACTGCCTTCTGGGTGAGTGGGGAAGACTTCGTGAAGAAAGCAACAGCTGAAGTAAAATTGAAGGATAATCAAAGTAGAAGTGAGAATGAAAGGAAGATATTCGTGCTTGGAAAGAAAATACTAACACCATGTACAGGAAAACACAAGGTATATTTTGGAGATGACAAGTAAGAATTTTCCAAGAGCACAGATGTAATAACAATTTGAGAAGTAAAGCTGAAGGGTAGGATCCCGATGTGGAGAATGCTGGGACCCAGGCTGAGCGTGGACTTTACATCAAGTAGAAGTGGTAGAGAAAGATTAATTGCCTCTCTGCATTGGACTAGTGCCGTTTCGTTGTCTTCCAAAAGCTAAAAAGAAGCACTTTAGGCCTTCAAGGACTAGTTATCTAAAAACCACACTTGATTTGTTCTTAAGTCTCAGCTCCAGGGCATACAAGGAACTTTTTCTGGAGTTTTGTAAAATTCCTCATGCACTCAGATCCTATTAAGACCTCTGGCATCTTTTTTTTTTTTTTTTTTTTTTTTGAGACAGGGTCTCACTCTGTCGCACAGGTTGAAGTGCAGTGGCGCGATCTCAGCTCACTGCAACCTCTGCCTTCTGGTACTCAAGCAATCCTCCCACCTCAGCCTCTGGAGTAGTTGGGACTACAGGTATGTGCCACCATGCCCAGCTAATTTTTGTACTTTTTGTAGAGACAGGGTTTTACCATGTTGCCCAGGCTAGTCTCGAATTCCTGAGCTCAAGCAATCTGCCCACTTCGGCCTCCCAAAATTCTGGAATTACAGGCATGAGCCACTGAGCCTGGTCAAGACCTCTGGCATCTCTCTCTCTTTTTTCTTTTTTTTTGAGACAGAGTCTCGCTCTGTTCCCGAGGCTGGAGTGCAGTGGCGGATCTTGGCTCACTGTAACCTCTGCCTCCCGGATTCAAGCGATTCTCGTGCCTCCGCCTCCTGAGTAGCTGGGATTACAGGTATGCACCACCACGCCTAGCTAATTTTTGTATTTTTATTAGAGAAAGGGTTTCACCATGTTGGTCCAGCTGGTCTCGAATTCCTGACCTCAGGTGATCCGCCCACCTCAGCCTCCCACAGTGCTGGGATTACAGGTGTGAGCCACTGTGCCCGGCTTCCTGACTCCAAACTTTTGCACAAGCCATTCATGTTGTTTTTCTGTTTCCCCTCCAAAGTGTTTCTTCTCCCTCAAAACCTATTTCCACACTCAACCTCCTCTAGAAGGACTTACCTATGACTTAATGTAACTGCTTCATTACTAAGGAAACCTATGCTCAACATCTTGATGCTACATTTAATTTCTCTAAATGATAAAATATACAAATTCTTTATATTTGCATGTCTAACCACCCTGTGACAGCCTTCAGGAAAGGTTCCACATCTGCCAGCTCCTTTGTATCCTCCCTCTAGAACCTGCCTCCCATCCCCACTTTACCCACCTACCTCAGAGACTTCATGGTACAGTGCAGTATACTTGGTGAGTGTTGATGGTTTAAGAGTGTGCCCTGAACAACAAAGGATTTCTTTGAAGCTGAAATCCTATACCATCCATGGAATGTGGAGTTTCACCTCTCTTTGGCTTCTACTCCTTTCCCCAGCATGTGTAGAGCTTCTAGAACAGTCCCCAGCAAGAGAGGATCACTTGGTACACCTCTTTCTTATCCTGACTGTCTCCAGTCTCTGCTGTAGGCCTGTTAGTGATGATCAGGATACAGGTTTTAACATGGCCAAGCTGTTAATAACTTGAGATTGGGCACCATGAACAATAAGCATTAAAAGGCAACAACAACAACAACAAAACCTGTTAATTTTATGCAGGCTTAATTTTTTTAAAAAGTGTTTCTTCCTAGCTCGCTCTTACTCTTCTTCGTCTACTTTCTCATACCTATGACTAACAAGGATACCCACCCACTATATACACCTAATTCCATCCCTCCAAATTTGATTTCGTGTTCTCTAGAGCTGGCGTGTTATGTGACTTATTGTGGGGAGAGGCTTAGCTGAGGGACTCTGTGATGCCAAATGGACAAAGGCATACTTTTTTCTGCAGGTGCCAGCCTGGTGAAAATCATAGCACCTGCGGATTTGGAGCTGACCCTCTCCTTTGGAAATTGTGCCTTCCAAAAATATATCTTACGCTGCCTGTGCCTGCATGCAATAGGTTTTGAGTCTTACCAACTGCAGCTTCAGGCTGAACTTGAGTTCTGCCCTCATGGATGCAAATCAAAACAGAGCTCTGAATCAAGTCTGGGAAGCAAGTCGAAGTGGTTTGATTTGCATGGGGAGCTTTGTGTCTGCGTGAAGGCAGCCAAATTCCCTAGGCTCCCCAGCCCTCCGGAAATAAGCTTTACAGGACCCGGGGCCCAGGCCCAGTCGGGTGGGTGTGATTTGAATGTTCTCTGCTACAGCTGCTGCTCTGGGCCCTGGTCACTGCTGTTGGTTTCGCTCCATTTTACTGCCTCAGAATCCCCCTGTGCATGTTAGTGGTTAATACAGCAGCCAGGAGACGCCAGACAGCTCTCGGCACCTGGTTCAAATTTAAGGCTCATTTACACATGATGTCACACACGCATTGTCAGCGCGAGGGAGGTCAGGATGGTTCATTTTGGGAAGGTTCACATTGTTGAGTCTTTACAACACTCACTGCTATTAATGCCTTAACCATCTGACTTGGATTTCGGTTTTCTGGCATGAGGTAATCCCAGGCACTAGATTTATATGCTGAATGGGAAGCCAGCAATGGTGGCTAATCATGCTGGTTTGCACATCTGCACCTCTGGAGCCTTGGGATGGAATTAGAGGGCCACATGGCAAGTAGCAAATCATGGGGGTTTTGAGCAGGCGGGGAATTAGCCAGACCTGGAAGCAGGGGCCATAGACGGGGTGTTGTCTGAGCCAGGAAGTTTGATTGAAGAGTAGAAACCAAGGTAAACTGGACAAGGATCTGGGCCCAGAGACCACAGGAATTACTCTAGTTTGACCAGTGCTTTGGTCATTGCTTGACCCACCCTTTTGCTTATCACCCATAGAAATCCCAGACCCATCTTTCCAGGTCCAGTGTAAGTCTCTCATGTTCCATGAAGTCTTTCCTGACCACCCATCCCACGGTAATTTCTCTCCTGAATCCCTAAGTACTTTTGTTACTGAGTACTTAATTTGTGCAACTAGCTCATTTTACCCTCGCAACGATTCCATGCGGAAGGCATTATTATTTCCATTTTACAGATAATGAGACAGGTTCAGAGAGGTTAAATAATGCATCCACCATCAAACTTTTAAGAGTCAGGATGGAATCCTGGCTCCAAGCTTAGGTTCTGAACCACTGGGGTAGGCTGTGTAGAACTACATTTTCTGTGGTACGTGGTATCAGTAACATGGGAGAGACAGGCTGTGCCTCAGGAAGATGCCACATGGGAGTGCACAGCAGTGCTATAGTGCCTTGTGTTTATCTGTAGTCCCAGGTGCCTGGCTATAAATAACTGCAGGGCAGTGACCATCACCTCTGCTTTTCTGCATCCCCACATTTCCTAACACAGTGTTCCTCAAAGTGTGCGTCAATGGATGGATGAATATTAGCACCCCCACACCACCCTCACCTGAAACATACTGAAAAGTTTGAGATCTTTGAATAACCACCCCTATCCCCTGCTGTTGTCTTCTGTCATGTGGCTGAAACTGTAAAACTGGTTTGCCTGTCACAGCTCCAGTGAGCCTCCTTACTCACCGGAAATTCAGAGAATGTCTTTAATCCTGCTTTAATCCTGCTGACTACTTTGATTTTGCTTTTTAACTTGTACCAAGACCTGTTGCTGTGATGGGTCTCTGCAAATGGGCTTTCTTGTTCCATGAGTCTCTGTTTTAGTCAAGTGAAGGGCACACTCCTTTTCACTGGCTACCTCTTACTTATCCTCCAAGAGGAATACTCACTCCCAGAACCCTTTCCTCGGGTCTCATGCCGAGGTTAAGTGCCCCTTCAGTGTGCTTCTGCAGCTGAACCCATAGTAGCATTGTAGTTTAATTCCTGTTTGCTTGACTGAGGCAGAGACTCACCTGCAGACACCTGTAGGTGCCTTCCATGTTGCTCAGATGAACAGCAGAGAAGGGTCAGGCCTGCCCTGGGTTTCTACCCCTCTCCTCAAAGCCCTTTCTAGTCACTACCCACAGCCTGCTTATGACTACAGGGATCCTGCCTCTGGGCCTCTATCCATGCAGCTGCCTCTGCCTGCACTCCAGGACAGGGGCCTTCTCTGTTGTCCACTGGAGCCCTGTGGAAGGGACTCTTGACCCTATCCCTAGGGAAGTCATCTCTGAAGGTTGTTTTATTACATTGTCTCCTCAGAATGACCCTATAGACACAGTGTTTTCTCAGTGTCCTCTTACCTTTGAACACATCCAGGAATAATTGAAAAACCAGGCAATCAAATGCCCGTCTCATAAATCATGTCACTTCAGAGCAGAACTTAGAGTCTGGTTTGCAAGCCACACCAAATAGTTTGAGCTTGCCCTTCTACCATTTCCTCCTGCTCTGAGCCCGGAGGTTCACCTAGTGGACTGTAGCAATGGATTCCCTTGCCCCTGGCTTCCTGTTGGGTTCAGCCAGAGAGCAGGACCAGTGGGAGCCTAGGAGGAGGAAAGTGAGGTCAGGGTGTCTGCTGCCCACTCCCTGCCTGCCAGGCCACTGTGGGTAGACTGTACCTCAGATGGCCCTGCCCATGTGTAGCCATGCTCGCCAGGTTCTGGGTTCTGGAAACCTCCCCCTCCTCTTGCCCCTTCAGTCATAGGGTGGTAGCCTCCTTCATTGCTGTTAGCTTTATGCACTCAATTGTGTTCCAACTCCAAATTCGTACATTGAGGCCCTAATCCCCAGGACCTCAGAATGCAACAGTATTTGGAGATAGCGTCTTTAAAGAAGTAATTAAGTTAAAAGGAGGCCATTAAGCTGGTCCCTAATTCAATGTGACTGGTGTTCTTGTAAGAAAAGGAAGAGGTACCATGGAGATGTGCACCCAGAGGAAAGGCCATGTAAGGACACAGCAAGAAGAGGCCTTAGAAGAACCAAACCTGTCCACACCTTGACCTTGCACTTCCCAACCTCCAGAACTGTGAGCAAATAAATGCCCATTGTTTGAACCACCCAGTCTGTGGTATTTTGTAGTGGCAGTTCTAGCTACAGTGATACGTACTATCCCATGGGGATTTCCCTAAATGTTGCTTATTACAGTGTGGAAGTCCTTTTGGTAAGCTTTCCTTTTGGGATGTCATCTGTTTCTTGTTGGGACCCTGATAGATATCTAGGCTTAGATGCCGACAGAAGGTTTTAGTGACAAAGGCAAGAAAAGCTGTCACTGGAAGTGGCTCCCCGCTACCAGTGTCCCCCCCATCATGTAAACCCACCTGGGTTCTCTAGTGCTATTCCAGGGTATTTCCTCTTCTTAGAAGCTGAGTGACTCTGGACTGATCACTCCGTGTGAACTTCAGTTTTCCTCTTTGTAAAGCATAGGTAAAACTGCCTTTTTGGGGTATTTTGAGCCAACATGTTGGATGCAGATGTGAATTGACTGAGATAACCCAGCAAGGTTGCTCTTCTATAGCAATATTTGTAAACAATTTCATTGATAAATATGCAGAAAGCATTGAAATCTTCGAAGGCAAGAAAATGGTGATGTTTACTAGGAAAGGCAGCTCTGAGTGTCGTATGGGGGAGGCTGTGCAATTTGCCCAGCAACTTTCTATGCCCTCCTGCCAAGTCCAGGAAACATTGCTAACCACAGTGCACCAGAGACAGAGACCCATGTACCAACCTATTCTCAGTCAGGTTTTCATTAGCTCTTCATAGACAACCAGTCAATCAGTTTCAACTTTTACTTCACACTCTTCTGCCGTAGAGGTCCCATACATACAACAGATGAATGGAGCATATCTTTGCCTTCTTCCTTTTTGTTTGGGAGTGAAGTCAAATCAGCTAGAGGCCAGAGCAATTCAGACACCTAAATAGGTACACAGTGTGCAGTAAGATGACATTGTGTCTTCTGGCTCCTAATTCCTATTTTCAATGAATGAAACTTCTCAACCATGTTATTTTCACCTGCCCAAGCTAAAACACAATCTTCACTGTCCCCATAGCTGCGAAGAGGGAGATCCTGACATAACATGTGGAGATGCTGCTAGAGCCTTTGCCCTCACTGCAAGCTAGACTTGCTACTGGCCCTTCCCAGAGTGGGCCAAGAGACCAGGCTTCTTCGTCAGTTGGACATCTGGCCTTCCACAAAATAGAGTTCTCCCCTGGGAGGATGATGCCTCCAGGGCAGTAGGAACACTTTTTTGTTAGCTCATTACTATCTCTATCCAATTCTGTTCTTGTGGGTGTGAAAAGCTATTGAGGAATGAAATGGCCTTGTGGGCTAGACAGGTGAAAAGGGAATACAATCTCAGCATGTGAAGATCTAGGAAGAGCGTCACTTCAACTCTTAAAAAAAAAAGCCAGACAAACTGCAAGTTTACTACTTTTTTTGGACCCTCAAAGAGCTGAGGTCACAGGGCAACCAATTAGCCTAAAAATCTAAGGACCGGTGGGGGCCTATGAAGAAGCATGGGACACAAGCCCTTGCTTACCTGGGGCAGATGTAGCCAATAGAAGAACTCAGCAGGAGTAGGTAAAGAAATGGTGGGGAATGAGTGAGGACTGGTGAGAGTATGGAGCCCCTGGGGAATGCATATACAGAGGGAGTTTGCACCTTCTTGGAGACTTTTCTCCATGGACTCTACCAGGCACTGTATCCCACCAGAAAAGACTGGCCAAAGTCCTGAGAAAGAATCCTTCACAGTGCAGGTATGGGGGAAAGGAAAATGGGCAAAGGGGCATGAACCCCACCCTTTCTCCTTTCTGGAACAAAAACCTTAATCTACAGGAGAAAGGGAAAAATACCGTTTCCTTTAGACTGCTGGCAAAACTTAGGGAAGAACAAAAACAGAACAAAACAAAACACCTCTCTGTCCCGAGGAAGGGGCAGGAATACAGAAACAAAAACTAAGAATGTACTGCCAATAAATATACTTGAGAAGAAATGTTTAAGAAGTTCTTCAGGTGGGAGAAATATGAAACAAGATCGAAATGCGTAACAAAAGACACAAAAATATGAAGAGCACTGGAAATTGATTAAATGAAGCTAAACTAAGATACATGTAAAATGTTTAAATGATCTTAAAAGATAAATGACTGTCAAGAGTAAAAATAGTAGCAATGTATTATGTTTGTATGGGGTAGGTAAAAGTAAAATGTAACAATAGTACAAAGGTTGGGAGGGAGGAATTGAGAAGAAACTATTTTAAGATTCTTACATTATGAATGAAGCAGTACATTATTTGAAGGTAGACTCTGATCAATTAAAGATGTATTGTGTAAACCCTAGGACAACAACTAAAAAATTTCTAAAGAGGTGTAAATCAAATAATGGAGATAAAATGCAATCATAAAAAAGTGTTCATAAGAGTAGGAGTTAATGAAATTGAAAAATAGAAAAACAATAGAGAAAGCCAATGAAACCAATACCTATTTCTTATAAAATATCAATAAAATGGATAAGCCTTTAGCCAGACTGACAAAGAAAAAATAGAGGAGACACAAATTACCAATTTTAGGAATGAAAGAGGGAAATTACTACAGATCCCATAGACAATAACAAGATAATAAGAGAATGCTATAAACAACTCTATAACCATACATTGGACAACAGAGATGAATGAATTAATTTCTTAAAAGATACAAATTATGAAAACTCACCCCAGAAGAAATATACAATTTTAATAGTTATATATATTAAAGAAATTGAATTGTACTTATAAGCCTCTGAAATATTCAACAGTTAAAAGAACAAACAAATTAAGAAAAGGTCTAGATATTTCAATGGAAAATTCTACCAAACATTTAAAGAGGAACTAGCACTAATTATGTATGATATATTCTAGAAAATAAAAGAGGGGGTAGCATCTCAATTCATTTTATGAGGCCAGCATTACTCTGATATCAAGACAGATAAAGACAGTTTCAAAAACTATAGACCAGTATCTTTCATGAGTATTGATGCAGAAATACTCAACAAAATATTAGGAATCTATGAAAAGAAGAAAACAACATGAACAAATGGGTTATGCTGTTAAAGCAAGTCTGATTCAGTTTTTTTTACAAATTAATTTTTAAATAATAAAATAATTATTCCATTATATTAACAGGCTAAAAAAGAAAAGCTACATGATTATATTAATTTATGCAGAAAAGGCATTTGACAAAAGTCAGCATTCATTCATGATAACTCTCAGCAAAATAGGAGTTGGAAATTTCCTCAAGCTGATAAAGGGCATCTAAAAAAACAAAAACAAAAAACAACCCTACAGCTAATATTATACCTAATGCTGAAAGACTGAATGTTTTCTCCTAATATTAAGAGATAAGAATATCCTCTCATACCACTCCTATTCAACATTTTCCTGCAAGGCCTAGCCAGTGCAATAAGGCAGTAGAAAGAAATACAGAACATACAGATTGGAAATGAAAAAAATGAAACAGTCCCTACTCACTGACAATAGGAATGTTTATGGAAACAAACAAACACCCCCAAACTATCACCAAAACACCCGACCTACAATTAAAATGTGAATTCTTAATCATAACATGTTATGAATGTCCAGCCTTCCATGTGTGTGTTTGTGTGTGTGTGTATTTATGGAGTTATCATTCTTGCTATTTGACTATCTAGCATTCAAACATTATCTGTATTGAAGGAGAATCTCTAAATATATGTCTTTATCAGCAAGCTAAAGGGACCAGATAGATATTTCTTCTCTCTGTTTCATGGGAGGTATAACCATATGACTGAGTCTTGACCAATCAGGTGCTCCCATGCTGGGCTCAAATTTCAAGGAAGTAACATTATACAGGAGGCTGTTGGAGATTTCTCATGAGGACAGCTGACTCAGGAGTCCCTCAGTGTAGAAGTTTGTGTCCGGGGATGGTGGGATTTTGTTATAACACTACCAGGCTGGACCATGATATGAGCTGACTATGTTCTTGGTTGCCTCACCACCCTTTGTTCCTGTCCTGTTGCCGAGCCTAGTTCACCAGCCTTCTTGTTGAGTCTATAAGCTACCTTCTAATTTTTCTACCTGATATCCAGAGTTTATTCCTTCTGTTGTTATCAACAATGTGTGTGTGTGTGTGTGTGTGTGTGTGTGTGTGTGTATGTATGTATTAAAAAATGGGAATGGGATTATACTGCTTGTATGGTCCTGTTACTGTATTTACTTAAACATATATACTGTCGACATTTTTCCATGTCCATAATGTTGCTCTATTTAGTCATTTTAATTATTGCCTGGCATTAACTTATAGGTATTTATTGTAATCTGTTTAACCAGTCTCCCATGACTGGATATTTAGGTTGCTTCTAATATTTGTTTATAATAAACAGCACTGCTATGCATATCTATACATACAAATCTTTTGGATTTTGACTAATTATTTCCTTAAAGTTCTACATGTAGAATTGCTATATCAAAGGGTAAGTATGTTTTTCAGGTTTTTGATTCATACTACCAAATTTCTCACCCTCTCCCTCAAAATACTTGTGACAATTTATACTACCATCAATCATATGCCTGTATGACAATGTTGATTTCCATGCATACTACCAACATTGATTATTATCTTTGTGAAATTTTTGAGTTACTACTCGTGTTCAATGACTTTGCAAATATTTGTTAGCTGTTTGTAATTATTGCTTTGTGAGTGACTGCTATTGTCTTTTGTTCATACTTCTTTTGAGGGAAAGGAACATACTTTTCTATTGAATTTATAAAAGCTCATATATATATGTATATGTGTGTGTGTGTATATATATATGTGTATATATATAAAAAATTATTTTTTTGTTTGTTTGTTTTTGAGACGGAGTCTCTCTCTGTCACCCAGGCTGGAGTACAGTGGCGTGATCTCGGCTCATTGCAACCTCCACCTCCCAGGTTCAAGTGATTCTCCTTTTATATTAAGGCATCTATCTGTCTAACATCTATGGATCTATGCAGCATATATTTTAAGGTATAACGGCCATGTATATTGCTATTTTCCCCCAATTTTT